CTCCTACGTCCTCCTCATCCCGCGGTTCGCGCCTCGCCAGGATCGCGTACAGGCGCGTGCAGAGCAGGACCGCCTCCGCCTCCTTCTCAGAGGCGACGCCTCCTCCTGTTGCTGTTGCTGTTGCTGTTGCTGTTGCTGTTGCTGTTGTTGTTGTTGTTGTCGTCGTCGTCGTCGTCGTCGTCGTCGTCGTCGCCGTCGTCGTCGTCGTCGTCGTCGTCGTTGTCGTTGTCGTCGTCGTTGTTGTTGCTGCTGTTGTTGTAAATGATTACTGGACAATTCTTATTGTTAGACCCCTTAAAGGCACTCTGGCGCTCTCGCCGAGGCGCCGGCTACATGTTCATTGAAAATGAGGCTCACGCTCGAGCGGTTTGGGGGACCGCCAAAACTGGCCCCCCAACAACAACAACGTTCCCGCTCGAGAATTCCTTCTTTTTTACTCAAGGCTGGTGTTCTTGCTCGCCACCGAGAAGCCGCCGTCCTAACAAAACCAGCGCCCCCGCTCGAGACTTCCTCCCGTTTTACTTTGGACTGGCGCGCTAGTCTTTCTCTCATCGGCGCCGCCCCCTGCAAAGACAACGCTCCCGCTCGAGGCTTCCTTCCTGTTTTACTCAAGGCGGTGCTCCTCCTCGCCACCGAAAACCGCCGCCCCGACAAAACCAGCGCTTCCGCCCGAGACTTCCTTCCGTTTTACGCTGGGCTGGCGCCCACCTCTCTTTTGAATTGGCGCCGCCCCCAACAAGAACAACGCTCCCGCTCGAGATTTCCCCTCTTTTTCCTGAAGACAATGCTGTTGCTCGCCGCCGACAACCCCCGTCCCGACAAAACCACGGCTCCCGCTCGATGCTTCCTCCCTTCTCACTCAAGGCGGTGTTCTTCCTCGCCGCCGAAAGCCGCCGCCCCGACAAAACCAGCGCTCCCGCTCGAGACTTCCTTCCGTTTTACGCTGGACTGGCGCCCTACTCTCTTTTGAATTGGCGCCGCTCCCAGCAAGAACAACGCTCCCGCTCGAGATTTCTTCTCATTTTCATCGGGACGGTGCTGTTCCTCGCCGCCGACAGCCCCCGTCCCGACAAAACCACGGCTCCCGCTCAATGCTTCCTCCTTTCTTACTCAAGGCGGTGTTCCTCCTCGCCGCCGAAAGCAGTCGTCCCAACAAAACCAGCGCTCCCGCTCGAGACATCCTTCCGTTTTATGCTGGATTGGCGCCCTACTCTCTTCAGCATTGGCGCCGCTCCCAGCAACAACAGCAGCCCTGCTCGAGACTTCCTCCCTTTCTATTCAGGGCCAAGTCCTTGCCTCAACGCCGACAGCCCCCATCTCCACCAAGGCAATCCTGTCGTTCGATACTTCTTTGTGCTTCACCCTTCGCTGGGGTTCCACTGGCGGTCTCGCATCGGCGCAGCAAGGCGCGGGCATGTGTTTTCGAGGCGGAATATGTTGAAATTCCTCGGAGGTGTTTGCAATACCTCATTGGGCGGAAGATCTGGGATTGGGAATAACGGACCCCGCTATAGAACAAGTCCCCCATGATGTGGATGGTTATCATGATGGTCGCATGCTTCGTGTGGAAACATCGCGCGTGAAGGTACACTGATTGTTGTTGTTGTTGTTGTTGTTGTTGTTGTTGTTGTTGTTGTTGTTGTTGTTGTTGAACTCTTACTCTTGAAGAATAACTTTTGTTGATCCCCCCCCACCGGTGCACATTGATTTTTTCGATTGAAGTGCCACCCCCGGGGCTCGCACCTTGTTTTTTCTCAAGGAAAATCTTCCTGCTCAAACTGTGCCCCTGCCCCCCGGGCTACAACAACAACGGCTCCCGCCTGAGACTTCCTCGATTTTTACTCATGACCCCCGCTCCCGCCTGAGACTTCCGCGCAATTTACTCAGGAAAGGCGCTCCCGTCTGAGACTTCCTCGCAATGTAATCAAGACCCCCGCTCCCGCCTGAGACTTCCGTGCAATTTACGTGGGAACGGCGCTCCCGCCTTGAGACTTCTTCGAATTTTACTCAGGACCCCCGCTCCTGCCTGACATTTCCGCGCAATTGACTCAGGAACGGCGCTCCCGCCTGAGACTTCCTCGCAATTTAGTGAGGACCCCCGCTCCCGCCTGAGACTTCCGTGCAATTTGCTCAGGAACGGCGCTCCCGCTTGAGACTTCCTCGCAACTTAGTCAGGGCCCCCGCTTCCGCCTGAGATTTCCTCACAATGTACTCAGGACTGCGCTCTCGCGTGCGACGTCCTCACAAATTATTCTGGAATTGCGTTTCGGCGCTCAGGAACCACGCGCGCGCCAAGGACGCCTTCACAACGTGGTATCTTCCCTCTTCCTTCGTCCTTCCCCCTCCCCTTCCTCCCACTCTCCCTCGTTCTTCCCCTCCTCCTCTTGCAAGGCCCGCGCCAATTCCAATGGCGGGCAGAGAGATGTACGCCCCCGAAAAATTGTCCGCCCGTTCCGGTTTGCCCGTACGTCTAAGCCCGCCGGCCCCGGCAAAGAAAAATAATCCCCCCCAAAGGGGTGTGATCGAAGACGAAGAGGGCGGGTATCGAGGGTGTAGGGTATACGTGTTGAATGACTCGCGGGCAAGTAAGAGCGTACAGCCTTAAAATGGTTGTTGTTGTTGTTGTTGTTGTTGTTGTTGTTGTTGTTGTTGAATTCTCATTTCTGAAGAATAATTATTGTTGACCCCCCCACCGGTGCAGACTGCTTTTTCTCAATCAAAGTGTGCCCCTTGACGCTCGCCCCCTGTTTTTTGACAGGGAAAATCTCCTTGCTCAAACTAAGCCCCTGGCCCCCGGGTTACAACAACAACGGCTCCCGCTTGACTTCCTTACAATTTAGCCAGGACCCCCGCTCCCGCCCGAGACTTCCTCGCATTTTATTCAGGAATCGCGCTCTCGCTAGGGACTTCCTTACAATTTATTCAGGAATCGCTCTTCCGGCGCTCTGGAGTCGCGCTCTCGCTGGAGACTTGCGTGCAACTTACTGAAGAATAGCCTTGCGTGGGAATTTCCTGCAATTTGCCCAAGCCGCGCCCCCGACACCCAGGCACCCAGGAGTCGCGCCCGTTGTGGCCCCATGTGCATGCCCTTCGTGGCCCCGCTGTCGTCATTTGTGTCCCCCTCACTGTCCTACGTGGCCCAGTTGCTACCCTCAGTAGCCCCATACTTGCCTTCTGTGACCCCACATTATCTGCACTTCGTGGCCCCCGCTATTTCGCGCTCTTCGTGGCCCCATACGCATTCCCTTCGTGTCCCCGCTGTCGCCCTTCGTGGCCTACTTCGTGCCCTTCGTGGCCCTGCTGTCTTTCTCTCTCGTTCTCGCTTTCGCTCGTCGTCGCCGTCGTCGTCGTCGTCGTCGCCGTCGTCTTCGACGTCGTCGTCGTCGCCGTCGTCGTCGTCGTCGTCGTCGTCGTCGTGGTCGGTCCCCTGTCCGTCCCTCTTGGGGTCGGGTCGACGGTCTGCGGCCGCCCCGCCGATCAGCGCTGCCGCTGGCCAGGCCGACGGTCCGCGGCCGCCCCGCCGCTTGCCGGGTCCCGGCCTGCAGGGAAGAAAGGTATACCCCCCAAAAGGGGTTCGATCGAAGACGAAGAGGGCGGGTATCGAGGGTTTGGGAAATACGCGTTATTGGACACTCGAGCATATAAGGGCGAACAGTATTAAAATCATTGTTGTCGTTGTTGTTGTTGCATACTCACTGCTAGCAATAATTATTGCTGAGCTCCGGAAAGGGTTGCGCGCGCTCTCGCTTCGACGCCGGCTACATTTTCTCTGAAAACGAGGCTCCCGCTCGAGCGTTGGCTTGAGCCTAAATGTGGGCCCTTGGAGGTCCAACTACGACAACAACGGCTCCAGCTCGATACTTCCTCACATGCTACCCCGCGGCACCCTGGCCAGGCCCTGGCCAGAGATGCCCCCGAACTCAGGAACGGCGCTCTCGCTCGAGACTTCCAAACGGTTCAATTAAGTTGGCGGCGGCCCAGCCACGACGACAAGGGCTCCTGCTCGATACTTCCTCACGATTTACTCCGAGAGTGGCCAATTCCGGCAAGTTGGTGGAGGCGACAAGGGCTCCCGTTCGTTATTGTTCGATAGGTATTCCGAGAGCCCCTGGCCAGAGAGGCCCCCGAACTCAGGAACGGTGCTCTCGCTCGAGAATTCTTCGCACTTCAGTCAGTGGCCGACAAGGAAGATATTCCACCCGAAAGGGGGTGCAATCGAAGACGAAGTGGGCGGATATCGAGGGTTGGGGTATACAGAATGCAAGACACGCGTACCAGTATGTTGTTGTTGTTGTTGGTGGTGGTGGTGTTGTTAGTGTTGTTGTTGTTGTTGTTGTTGCTGTTGTTGTTGTTGTTGTTGTTATTGATGTTGTTGTTGTTGTTGTTGTTGTTGTTGTTGTTGTTGTTGTTGTTGTTGTTGTTGTTAGTTGTTAGTTGTGCACGTGTGCGTGCGCGTGTGCGTGTGTATATATATATATATATATATGTATATATATATATGTATGTGTGTGTGTGTGTGTGTTTTTTGTTACGCATGTTTTAATCGTTCCCGCCTCTTCAGGCTTCCGACGCTCCAGAAGACGACCCAAAAGGAAAGAGGCCCCCAAGAGGGCCCCAAGACGGCCCGAGAGGGCCCCCAGACGGCCCAAGAAGCCCTCAAGGCGGCCTAAGAGGGCTCCGAAGAGGCTCCAAGAGGGGGAGCACGCACTGACATGTCGAGTCAAACTGTCTCCATGAAGCTTCCGAGAAGCCTCCCGAGGGACCCCGCAGGCGTCCAAGAGGCCTCTGACCTGCAACCCAGGCGCTGTGGCGGGCTGGGCCAAAGGCCACTCGACACCCCAGACATGCGACGTCCTGATTTTTTCAGGACGGCGTCCCCGGAAGTCCCGACCCTTTCCGTGGGACCGGTTTTTCAGTCTGAATCATTTATTTACACTCCCGAGGCCCAGCGAGGGCCCACCGAGGCTGAAAATGGCCGAGAACCTCCCGTCCTGATTTTTCTACGACGCGATCATGTCTGGGACGTTCTATGGCGCCGCGCTGGCACCACGGAGGGGACGGGAGGGGAACAACGAAGACAGGTCAAGGGGGGCTGGGAACTCCCCCTCCCGCAGGCCAGAAGCTGGCCCCGGGCACGAACGGGACCGTCGCTCAGTGGGCCCTAACATCCGGCGCCTCGATTGCTTCGAGACACGGGCCACCGATCACTCGACCACTTTCCCGGGACCGGTTTGTCATCCCGAGTCGGCTTCTGACGGCCCCGGGGCTCCGAGAGCCCTGAGATCCGACGCTGCGAACACATTGCAACGTCGTGAAACATGACCACTGTAGTTCCAGATCCCATCTTCCAGAATCACCTCTCGGGCCAGATGGATCCGTGAGAGCCCCGGGGCCCGAAACTCGGCGCGAAACGCCCGCGGTGAAAACCTGCCACGCCAGGACTGCAGGGAGGCAGAGAGCTGTGAAAAACCTCGGCCTCGAGTTTCTCGGGGCGCCAGATGCTCCGTGGACGGCGGCGGCGGGAAGCCCAGCCGCAGGCCCGGCGGAATGGCGGAGTCCGCCGCCGCGCCCCGCCAGCCCGCGCCCCGCCGCCCTGGGCGGCGGGCCGCGGCTCGCAGGCCCGCGAGCTCGGCGGGCCGACGCTGAGGGCACGGGTGCTCGAGTCCCAGACCTCCTCCTTCTCCTTTTCCTCCTCCTCCTGCTCCTTCTTCTTCTTCTTCTCCTCCTCCTCCTCCTCCTCCTCCTCCTCCCCGACCCTCTTGCCTCCTCCTCCTCCTCACTCCTCCTCCTCCTCCTCCTCCTCCTCCCCTCCCCCTCCTCCTCCTCCTCCTCCTCCTCCTCCTCCGCCTCTCCTCCTCTCTCCCCTCCTCCTCCTACCCCCCTCCTCCTCCGCCTCCTCCTCCTTCCTCCTCCTTCTTCTTCTTCTCCTCCTCCTCCTCCTCTTCCTCCTCCTCCTCCTTCTCCTCCTCCCCCTCCTCTTCCGTCTCATCCTCCGTCTCCTCCTCGCGTTGAACAAATCGCGACGTGAACGTTTTCGTTATTTTCGGCCTTCGGGGGCCCTCGCCTGGCCTCGGGAGCGTCGAAACGGGATTCAAGACGACAGTCTGGTTCCTTGGGGGGGGGGGGGTGAGCATGCTACGCATGGAATGAATCCAATGGAAATAAATTGTAGTGGATCCGTGAGTGGATCAATCTAGACTGATGAGGCTATGATGCCTCTTTTGATTTTGAGCCGGCTATGATGCCCGCTCGTGCCCACCCCGTCCCGTCTTCAGGGACTTCGCATCCTCCTATGATGGTAATATGGGAACACGGGCCGCCGCCCCTTGCACTGCACGTACGGTGCCAGGTTGATGGGGATTTGGTTCGACCCCCGCAGTTCCGATGATGGAAACTGCGAGGGGTGTGAGGCCTCATGGTGGTCCTCACTGGTAAGGCCTATGATGGTCCTCACCGGGGGGGGAGAGGGCAAGGGCGGACCAGGAGGAGGAGGAGAAGGAGGAGGAGGAGGACGATGGCGAGAAAGTTGAGTTCAATGAGCACATTGAGCGCGAAGGCCTATGATGGTCCTTCTTCCCAAAACGAGCCTTGCTGATGGCCCCGAATTGGGTGCGAGGTGCCTATGGTGGCCCCTCTGGTTGCCTATGATGGCGGCACTAGACGACCGGCAAGGGACTGGGTCCCGTTCACGGTCCATTAGGGGTGAGCATGCTACGCATGGAATGGATTCAATGAAAATAAATTGTAGTGGATCCGTGAGTGGATCAATCTAGACTGATGAGGCTATGATGCCTCTTTTGATTTTGAGCCGGCTATGATGCCCGCTCGTGCCCACCCCGTCCCGTCTTCAGGGACTTTGCATCCTCCTATGATGGTAAGATGGGGGTCGACATTGCGAGAAAATCACGACGTCGGGTGTTGTCTGAAGTCTAGGGCCTCCCAGGTGGAGTCCGAGCAGATGGGGTCGGAGGATCACGCCGCATCGCCGACGCATCGGCGATGCGGCTCGATGTGGAGCCTGGTGCTCTCTACGCCGACGCCGACGTCGCCGATGCATCGCCAGCGTCGCCGATGCGTCCGGGATGCGGCGCGATCCTCCGACCCCATCTGCTCGGAGCCCATCTGGGAGATCTCTGCGGAGGCAGCCCCGCGGCGGCCAGGGCCTGGATCCCCTCGGTCTCCTCGAGGGCCCCCAGACACCCCCCACCTCAGAAGAGGATTTTCTTTGTTGATTTCGTTTCTTTCTTCGCTCCCCACCTCAGAAAAGGAATACATACCGATACCGCTGCCCTCGTTCTCGCCTCCGTGGGCATCGTGGAAGGCCCTCGTTGCCACCGCGGGCTTCCACTCGAAATTCTAGTCAAAACGCACCCCGGGAGAGGTCCAGGGAGTAGCAGTATGGATGTCTTTTCGTTTCCACACGACCCCCTCCCGTCGTGAAAAAACACGACGGGGGGCGTTTGCTAAGTTTTGGCCTCTGGGGGCCCTCGCCAGGCTCCTGGGACCGTCGATAAACGGCTCGGGATGAAAAGCTGGCCCTGGGGCCCTAGGGGAGGGATCCAGATCAATGGGACCCCACGCTGTGAACAACATCGCGACGTCGAAGATCTGGGCGGATCGAAGAAAACTATGCACATGCACCGGCTCCACCCAGGCCCAGCCTGGGCCCAGGATCGGTGGCAGATGGCTCCATGGCCAAGCCAGGAGGGCGAATGCACCGATCCCGGGCTCAAGATGATCCTGTCTAAGATCGGTGTGTTTGTGTGTGTGTGTGTGATTGTGTGTGTAGCTCTCTTCCTTGTATCCATGAGATCCGACGGTGCGAACAATATGCAACATCGCGATCAATCACGACTGGAATCGCTGAGGACTGCCAGGGAGGAGCACCGTCACAGGGCACCCCAGCGTCGCCCGCAACGCCCCCCGCGGCGCGCGGTCATCTCCGCGCGGCCGCCCCAGAGAAAGGAGGAACCGCCTTGCAGGCTCGGCCCCGCGGCGAGCGAATCGCAGCCCTCGTTGCGCCCCCGCGGGCGACCTCAGTAGCTGATGCCAACGGAATCTGCCCTACCCGCAGAGCGAACACGCGCCTTGCTCGGAGGATAGAAGAAGAGGAATAAGAAGAAGAAGAAGAAGAAGAAGAAGAAGAAGAAGAATAGGAAGAAGAAGAAGAAGAAGAAGAAGAAGAAACGGAACAACCACAAACTTTTCGCGCTCCGCGCGGAATTCTTGGATCTGCGCTGGACCCCCTCCCTGGCGCGCGGGGCGCGCCGGGGGCGGCGCCGGAGGCAACGCCGGGGGGGCTCAACGCGGATCCAATAAATCTGCGCGAAATGCCATAGTTTCTGTTGATGGCGTTTTTTCTTCTTCTTGGAGGGGAGGAGCGGGTGGCCGCGGCCGGGGTGCCAGGCGGAATGGCGACTGCCTCGCTGGTGGTGCTGCGCGCCGCACGGAGAATCTGGGGACCCAGTCCCAACCAGAACGCGCCAAAGGGCAGATAGATGAAGAGAGCAAATCAAAAAGGAGGGCAATTGATAAAGAGGGCAGATAGACCCGCTGGCCCCCTTGCGGGGCCACCAGGCTGCGAGGGTGAGGATTGCAGCTCCCTCTTCCAGTTGCAGTTTCCAGTTTCCACTGTTACAGTCCTGCTTTCTGCTTTCTTACTGTTAACGCGCGAGGGGGGGGAGCCCCAAACCAGCTTTTTTACCACGCCCAGGTCGCGTTGTCTGAATTCCTGGGGGGGCGGTGGGATATGTAAGTATAACTGAGATTCGCGTCCCCGAGGCCATAATCCTTGGTACTTAGTAAATTACACTATAGTCGCGTCCTCGAGGCCGTACACCTTGGTAAATTATACCATATTCGCGTCCCCGAAGCCATACACCATAATAAATGATTCAATATTCGCGTCCCCGAAGCCATACACCATCGTACAGTATACAATATTCGCGCCCCCGACATCATAAACCAGCGTAAATTACATGATCGTACATTCGCGCCCCCGGAGCCATAAACCATCGAACAGTACACGATGTTCGCGTCCCCAGGGCCATCAGCCATTGTACATTACACCATGCTTGCGTCCCCGAGGCAACAAACCCTCGCAAATTATCCAAAAGTCGCGTCTCCGAGACCATACACACCATAAAATAAATTCAACAATATTTTCGCCCCCGAGGCCACAAACCTTTTGTGAATTACTCAATGCTTGCGTCCCCGAGACCTCACACCATCGCAAATTACACAATACTCGCGTCCCCGAAGCCGTAAACAATAGTCAATCACCTACTGTTCGCGCCGCCGAAGCCATAAACCTTTGTAAATTAATATTGGCCCTCGCGTGAAGTCCCGACATTGCTTCGCGTCAGCGTCCAGAGATCCCAACGCAGCTCTGGCAAGTCCCATTCTAAGAGAGGGGGTCGGCGGCATGGGGGCGAAGCCCTTACGGATAAAGAGGGCAGATCGATCAGATAGATAACATGCTTCCTGCACAAGAGGAGAGCAGATAAAGTAAGAGAGATACAAAGAGAGAGAGAGAGAGAGAGGCGAGGATCACGAAGGAAGAGACGGCTGAGTGGACACGAGGGGCACGAGGGAAAGGATACGAAGGGCACGATGGAGAGACGAGGGATGCAAGGGAAGAGACACGAGGGAGAAAGGCGTACACACGGACACACGCGCAGATACAGACCCACACACATGCACACACACATTCACACACGCACACACATGCGCACACACACATGCACACACAAGCACACGCATGCACACACGCACACACATACACATGCACACACATGCACACATGTGCACACACATGCATAATCACACACATGCATAACAACATGCGCGACCATGCACACATAAGCACACACATGCACATAAACACATGCACACACATGCACACATAGGCACACACGTGCGTAAGCACACGCACACACATGCACACAAACACATGCACACATATGCACACACGCACGCACATGCACACACACACACACGCACCCACACACACACACACGCAACACACACACACGCAACATACACACACGCACACGCAACACACATACACTCGCAGACACACGCACACATACACACGCGCACACACGCACACGAACACACACACACACAAGCACGCACACACACACACACCCACACACACACACCCTGCACACCCACACACCCAAACACCCACACACACCAATACACCCACGCACATCCACCCACACCCGCACGCACACACCCACCCACACACACACACACTCACGCACACCCACACACACACCCACACACACACACCAACACACACACCTATACATCTACCCACCCACAGACCCACACACCAACACACCCACAACCACACCCACAACCACACATCCCTACAACTCCATACCCCCACACCCACACCTCGGCACATCCACACACCCAACCACATACACCCACACACACACCCACACACACAGCCACACCCTCTCACCCCCCCACACGCACACACACACACACTCTCGCACACACGCACACACACACGGACGCACACACACACACAAGCACAAGCATAAGCATAAGCACAAGCACAAGCACAAGCACAAGCACAAACACCGAAACACACAAACCCACAAACACAAACCCACACGCACACAAACACAAACACAAAACAACCCCAAACACAAACACGAACACAACCATAAACACACACAAGCACACAACCACAAGCACAATCACAGACACAAGCAAATATACATACATATATATATATATATGTATATATACATGTATGTATGAATATATGTCTATGTATATTTGCACACATATAGTATCCGATCCATTCAAATAAATCCGATATATGCCTTTGCAATTTTGCAGGATCCCTCGGCTTCGGGGGCGCTCCGGAGAGCCCCGGGGCGCTCCGGAGAGCCTGAAATATATGCATGCATGCATGTGTGTGTGTGTTTGTATGTAGGTACGTATGTATGTATGTATGTATCTGTGTGTGTGTACATATATATATATATATATAGATACACACTGCATGTGCGTGTACGTATGTATGTATGTATGTATGTATGTCTACATATATATATATATATATAGACCTGTCTATATGTATATGTATGTATCCGCCACCGTGCTGCTGGGCATGGAGTGGGCGTGTCCTCAGCTCTATTGCCCTACCCCTGAGCTTCAATCCTCGACCCTGGGTTCTTGAGGGGCCCGGCCCGGACTCCGAATTCACAAATTTCCTCGGGCTTGCCGCGGTTCCCCTGGGGTTCCTCGCGGCTTCCCGCAGCATTTTTTGGAGCTCGGAGGGCCCCAACACGGGCCAAGAGGGCCCCAAAAGGCCCCGAAGACGATCCGACAGGGCCCCAAGTCGCCGAACGATTGCTCCAAGACGCTCAAGATGGCCCCCAGACGGCCCAAGAGGCCTCCAAGACGTCCCAAGAGGCCTCCCAAGAGGCCTCCCAAGGGGGCCCCAAGAGGCCAACATCATTTACGTGTCTTGGGTTTTTCATTCCCAACCATCCTGTGGTGTTGGGTCCTCATTTTGAAGAGACAGCGCTCCGCGTTCACTCCTCCTGCTCCTTCCTCCTCCCCCTCCTCTCATCATCAATCATCATCATCATCATCATCATCATCATCATCTCATCATCATCATCATCATCATCATCATCATCATCATCATCATCATCAGCATCACACCAGCATCATCATCATCACATCATCAATCATCATCATCATCATCATCATCATCATCATCATCATCATCATCATCATCATCATCGCCATCATCATCATCATCATCATCATCATCATCATCATCATCATCATCGTCATCGTCATCATCGTCATCATGTCGTCGTCATCATTATCATCATCATTCCCAACCATCCTGTGGTGTTGGGTCCTCGTTTTGAAGAGACAGCGCCCCGCGTTCCTCCTCCTCCCGCTGCCCCGTCCCCCCTCCCCCTCCTCCCTCCTCCTCCCTCTCCTCCCTCCCCCCTGCGTTTCACCCACCCATTACAGCGTTTCGTGGCTCCATAGTGAGCTCCAGCAAAGGCCCCAGTGGCAGGGTCCGCATGCAGTTCCACCTCCATTTCGGCGCACCTCTCACACGTTTCGTGGCCCCATAGGGTGCTCCGCCCAAGGCCCCAGTGGCAGGGTCAGCATGCAGTTCCTCCCCCATTGTCGGCGCACCCCTCACACGTTTCGTGGACCCATAGGGTGCTCCGCCCAAGGCCCCAGTGGCAGGGTCCGCATGCAGTTCCAACCCCATTTCGGCGCACCTTCACACGTTTCGTGGCCCCATGGTGTGTTCCGCCGATGACCCCAGTGGCAGGGCCCGCATGCAGTTCCACCCCCATTTCGGCGCACCCCTCACACGTTTTGTGGCCCCATACGGTGCTCCGCCGTAGGCTCCAGTGGCAGGGTCCACATGCAGGTCCACCTCCATTTCGGCGCACCCCTCACACGTTTCGTTACCCCATAGGGTGCTCCATTCAAGGCCCCCGTGGCAAGTCCGCATGCAGCTCCCCCTCCATGTCGGCGCACCCCTCACAC